GATAACAATTGTTGCCTCTTCCTCAAGAATGTCAATTCTTGCCCATAATGTTGCGAGGGCATCTGAAAACTTGTTGTCAGAGCGAGGCACATGCTCTATTTCAACCTTCTGAAATTTGTCAAGAAGCCTTTGGACTGTTGTTCGATATGTGGCCAAGGCAGGCTCCTTCAAGACGAACTGTCCTGAAACTTGCTTCACTATCAACTTTGAGTCCCCCCGAATCCGAATCTTTTTGATACTGTGCCTCTCAGCTGCTATCAAGCCTAAAATAAGAGCCTCATACTCGGCTTCATTATTTGAGCAATGGAAATCTAGTATATAAGACAAATATAACTTTTCCCCACTTTTGCTTGTAAGGACTATCCCGGTTCCTCCTTTCCCTTCGCTGCTGCTCCGTCAAAGCTTAATGTCCAAAAGCTTTCCTCGGAAGCCATAGCTGCATGCACCTCTCCTCTTAATTCTTCATTCACTGGTTCATAGTCACCACTTGGAAATTGAGCAAGGAGATCAGCTAAGGCTTGGCTTTTGATTGCCTTGGGAGCTACACATGTGATCTCGAATTTACCCAGTGCTAACAACCATCTTGCCACCTTCCCAGTTAGAGCAGGCTTGCTGAGGAGGTATCGGATTGGATCACTTCTAGTAACAATCTGAATCTGATGTGCTGAGAAGTAATGTTTGAGTTTTTGGGCGGTGAATACCAAAGCTAAACAATGTCTCTCTACCGGAGTATATCGGACTTCTGCTCCTCGAATCTTCCGGCTGATGTAATACACCGAGCGTTCTGTTCCGTCTACATCTTGGACCAATAATGCCCCTATGGACTTGGGGGTTGAAGTTAGGTACAACATTAGAGGGACCCCGGGCTGCAGGGCTATCATGGTCGGAGGCGAGGTTAAGGCCGCCTTAATTCTCTCAAAGGCCTTTTGGTGCTCTTGGTTCCACTCGAACTTGGCATCTCCTTTTAACAAAGAGCCATGGTCTGAGGGGAGGTCAAGGCCGCCTTGATTCTCTCGAAGGCCTTTTGGTGCTCTTGGTTCCACTTGAACTTGGCATCTCCTTTTAATAAAGAGCCGAAAGGTGCAGAGATCTCTGCCAGTGCTGGGATAAATCTCCGAATATAAGACACCTTCCCGAGGAACTTTTTTAACTCCTTCTGAGAATGTGGGGGAGGCATTGCTTTGATAGACTTGACCTTGTCTTCATCTGCCTCGATACCATGCCTATGTACAAGAAACCCGAGGAACTTCCCGACCGTCACCCCGAAAGCACATTTGAGAGGATTCATCCTCATTTTGAATTTCTGGCACCTCTTGAATACCTTCTCAAGGCCTCGGAGATGGTCTTCTTCTTTCTTGGATTTCACCACTAGATCATCAACATAATCTTCCACCTCATGATGGATCATATCATAAAATATTGCAGTCATAGCCCTTTGGTAAGTTGCACCGGCATTCTTGAGTCCGAAAGGCATGACTGTATAGAAGAAGTTTCCGAGAGGTGTTCTAAAAGCAGTCTTTTCTGCGTCCTCTTCAGCCATCTTAATCTGATTGTATCCACTGAATCCATCCAAGAATGAGAACATCTGGTGTCCCGAGGTAGTATCCACGAGGGTGTCGATGTGAGGAAGAGGGAATTCATCATTCGGGCAAGATTTGTTCAAATCTCGAAAGTCTACACATACTCTGATTTGGCCATTCTTCTTCTTTACTGGCACGATGTTTGCTAACCACGTGGGGTACTGTATTGGCCGGATGAAACCAGCCTGTTAAAGTTTTTCAATCTCCCCCTTAATCTTCTCTTCGAGATCCGGATGATATTTTCGAGCAGCTTGCTTAATTGGCTTGGAGTTTAGGAACACATCAAGATAGTGGGAGACTAGGTCAGGATCTAGTCCGGGCATTTCCTTATATGACCAAGCAAACACATCTGAGTATCGGCTTATCAACTTTAACAACTGTTCCCGCTTCTCTGGGCTAAGGCTCGAACTTACGAATACCGGCCTCGGTGCATCTTGTCCATCACTCAGATCTATTTCCCTGTTCCAGCTCTGATCACTATTGACTTCAACGATTCCAACGCACACCACACACGTTCGCCCTCTCAACGCAACGTGTGTGGTCTTGCCCAAGCCTAGCCCAGTCTTGTTGATTACAGTCTGTAAAGCCTTCCTGATTTCAGCTTAAATTTCCAGTATCGGCTTCGGACTTCACCTCTCTAACTGCCCAAATTTGTAAGTATGACATTCAACCCCCTCTTCCGAATATAAATATATTTAAATATATATAAATATATTTTTGTGGCAATGTAGAGGGCTCAAGCAATCTGATGAAAATAAAAATAAAATACATAAATAAAAACTGAATCTGAATATGGACTCAATTTTTGTGGCAATCCCAATGATATATTTTTTTTTTAGCTCAAACACCGTGATTTTGGCCATATGAAAACATGCACTAGCACTTGAAACCTTATTGAGGTGCTTGGCTTGAACATAATTTGTTGAACTTTATCACCGAGGAAAGGCCGAATATAACTTGTTGACTAGTATTTGAGCTCCATTTTTGACATGGAGAGAGAAAACCCTGGACTTATGAATATGGACTTTGGAAAGGACATTCTTGTAATTTGCATAATGATCCATTGAATCTTGCTACTGATAAGCAATGTAATATACTTCGGATCTCGGGCCCGAAATTTACTATTGAACTTCACTCTGTCCAAATTTGGAGCCCCGTATAAATTGGACCTTTAATATAGAACATAGTGACTTTAAGAAATTGACCCAATTGAACTTCATCATGAAGCGACCTATGACATTGCACCTCTTATTGATGATAGAAGACAAAAATCTATATGTTGATGATGCACCCATTGGTATTAAAATTTGTTGAGCTTGAGGAACACCCGAGAAAAAGAATTGTTGATGACTTCCGGGGTTGAACCTGGACTCTTGGTGTAAAAAAAAAAAAAAATTCCTCGTAGAATTTGTTGAATTCATGGACTCTCAGAGAAACGAATAGTTGATGCCGAAATTTCATTCGAATGTGTTGCTTTAATTCCAATATTCTGAATTTTAATACGGTCAACTCCTTACTATTTATACCTGTTATTTCAGCCATATGTCTTCTCGAAAGAAACCCGCTGTCCCGGGGTCATCGGAACCGGCTCTCATGAAAGAGAGGGATGTACCTCCGGCATCTGAGTGGAGGAAATCTCCTTATTTTGGTCGGAAGGACCCCTTCTGGCGGGCGGCTACCTCCACCACTTCTCTTCTATCTCCGAAGGCGGCTCCATTATGTCTCACTGAGGACACTAACTCTGGCCAGGAGGCCCTCATTTCTCCTTCCTCGGTGCTACGCTTTCGAATTGAGCAGGGGGACTTTCCATACTGTTATCCTCAGTTCAAGGCCTTCTCAAACCCTCCTTTTGGTTGGCAGGAGTGGGTCGATGATGTCCTCTCGGACAAGAGCCTCTGTCAACGGCTTCAGGAGGCCCGGCTATTGATCCCGGTGAAAATATCTAGATCTCTATCCATCCGTCGCAACAATGCTAGCCTGGAAGCCATGGCTCTTCGGTGGAGCACCGAGACACACACCTTTATACTTGGCCAGCACGAGATGGGGCCCACCCTTGAGGATGTGTTCATGTTGCTGCGTCTGGAAGTGACCGGCCCTGATGCCTTCGACCCTGAGCAGACACCCCCCGAAGATGATTCTTTGATCCAATCTCTGAAGCTAAATCTTCAAACTTGTGGTCGGTGGAGTTCCGTTTTTGATGGTTCAGCGAGGAGGACTAGTCGAGTAAGGACGGACCGTGCCTCCTATACTGCATGGATCCGCCACTTCTTCAAAGATCTTCAGCCATTGGCCAGAGATGCTGACCCTAACTCTCGGGAGTATGAGGCCGGTCCGATGTATGGCTCCAGGCTCTATTTCTTGGGATTTCTGGCTTGCTTCCTTTCATTCTTCATTCTTCCGAGCACACCTCCGGATTCCCTCAATCCTTTCGTCTTCCCCTTGGCAGTCAGGCTCTTCAGAGGAGATCGGATCCCTTTGGCTCCACTATTTCTTGGGAATCTCTACTATCGGCTGGATCTACTACATCGAGATATGGTTCGCTCCGTGGGTCGATATGAGCCTGTCTCCTTTATTCACAGCCAGTTCCTGCTATGTTTCTTCTTCGAGAGGTTCCCAAAATTTGCCCCTGCTCCGACTGTATTCGAGGCGGAGGTTCTTCGGGAGATAGTGGATAAAGATGGCATCCCCGTGCTCGATACTGATGGGTCTCGGACATTTGAGAAAGCGAAGTCTTGCCAGCCGTTGATTACACGGTGGTCACGTACCATTTCCACCTTATCCTTGAATACTCTGGTGGATGATCCCCAACGCTTTGTGGCACAGCCGTATGTATGCCCACCTGTAGGTGTGGCCACACCGCTTATCTATCATGGTTCCTCCCGCTCGGTGTCCTTTCCTTTGCCGAAGAACATCCCTGCACCTTTTGTTGATATGCTGATTATGATCCGTCCGAGTTCATTACCGGTGTGGCATGAGGAAGGCGTTGATAGTGCCGTTTATAGGCCTGACCGTGTAGCATGTCAATTCGGGTTTGATCAATGTGCCCCGGGGCCAGCACCTCATTTATTATCATTTTCAGAGAGCTACAGGCGCTTCAGTCGCCGGCTTGTACACACCGTGCTTCCCATATCCGGCTCTTTGACGATGCCAGGCTTGAGCCGAGTAGGGGGTTTCACCCCCTCTTTCAGGCGGTATTGGCAGAAGAATATCGATGCGTTTATTGCATTTGTCCAGAGCAGACCGACCGTATGTTTGCCTCCGCCGATTTATAAGAAGGATTCTTCTCTTCGGCTACCCGAGAGCCGAAAATCTGACCACATGTACGAGAGTTTCTTTTAACAACATGCATTCCAGTGGTTCATCTTTAAGGTTGCATTTGGATTGGATTGTGATTTGGGTAATGATTTAGAAAGGGAGAGCAGTGGAAAAAGTCAAGGAAAATGTGACAAAAATACAAGTCAAAGCCTGACTTCATTTATCTCGTCTTTTCCTTTTTCTTTTCCTTTCCAAGTTACTACTGAAATCCATAATCCTGACAGTCTAAGTGAAACATTAATTAAATGAAAAAAAGACGCCAAACCCAAATGAACACCTGGTTTGGCAGCCACCTTTTCTTTTAGTGGACTTTTCAATGACTAGGAGGGCTAAAAAAAAATTAAATTATGAATCAAATTTGAAGAATGTCTTGATGAAAAAAAGTTGGATCAAAAGTTGTTACCAAATGAGCAAAAAATCACAACAAAAACATTATGTTATTGTACCAGCCTTCAACATAGTAAATTGGATTGAGTTATATTTAGGTCATTGTTCATCCATTTCCCATGTTATTGTTACACATTTCCTACAGGGATTTAGAGAATAAAATTAATAAATATTTTCCTACTCCATTTATGCCATTTCTTCTTCTTGAATCTTGTGCATTGGAGAGAATCCTAATTTTATTTTTATTTTGTATTTTATTACTTTTTAGGAGTGAAAATTAAAAGGAGAGAGTAGTCTCTGATTCTTGTGGAGTACTCCTTAGCAGTTCTTTGGCACCACTGACATTACTCAGCGAACTTAAATGGGGAATGTGATCGGCTCGTTTCTTTCAGGAGTTGGTAACGTTATCAATAATCTGCTTGGCTCTCCACTCAATTTTCTTTCTGGAAAATCCTGCAGGTAAACTTTAACATTGTTCTTCCTACATGTTCTTGCCCTTTTTTAACAACGTAAAATTGTTTACCAAACAAACCCAAAATATGCTTATGTTTTACAATTATCATAATTATGCGATTCATGAAATAATCACGATCTTACTAAGTTCGTAGTTTTATATGCATCGCATTTAATAACATGCTAAATGGTGTTTTAATTTACATATTGTATTTGCATACTGAGACATTTCTTCCATTGTCATTTGTTGTTCAGCTCAGCATGTGGCTCAACATGGGATTTCATCTGTTACATAGAGAATTTCTGCGTTGCTCATCTGTTGAAGTTGGCTATGGTTTCAGTTCTTTTCTACTTTGGTGAGTATACATTGTTGTAAGAAATCCTATAATCATTTATCAAAATTACTTGTATTGAAACAACAGATTTACTAACAAATTTGAAAAACCTGACATCCCAATCTACTCTACATGCCAAGTACATATGTCCATTACAATTTATTTTCTCCCTTATAGAAAGAAAAATGCATGGCCGGGGTTGCTTTGTCTTGAAATTTTCCTGTCCTATTCTAATGCACTCACAGCCACACGATATGGTGGGAATCTCAAGACACAATTGTGTGGCTACGAGTGCACTAGGATAAGAGAGACAAAAATTTTGGGATAGAGGATCTCATGCCAAGGTATAGTGCCTAGCATCAAGGCCAGCCCTAAGGAGAAACTAGCAAAGAAGCCGCCTTGGGTCCCCAATTTGAACACAATTTAAGGGGTCCCAAATAATTTTAGCCTTTATAGTAATAGAAAGACCAAAAGAAGTGCAAGTTTTAATGTCCATTCCTTGCATCTTACATTCCATGATTTCCTTTAATCATGATGTGCAGTTCTCTTATTCTTGTATTCATTATACAAATTGGGCGTTTGCCGATGTTTTGCCCGGACACTATGCAAAACGGTATGGGCATGCTTTGCTACATGCTTCTTCACGGTTGAGCATGGTTGCACTTTCCTTTGTTATAAGCTTCCAAAGCTTAAGCGGAAATACAGAAAGCGTAGAAGAGATATCAAACGGTTCAATTCAAGCAGTACCGATGAAGAAGATAGAACATTTCCCTATCATGTACCTAGACACATGGAGGACAAAAGATCATTGTCTCGTCATTGGAAGGACTACAGAGGAGATCACTTGAGAAGATCTTTGAGGCCTAGGAGTCACCGTGTTCGAGTGGGGATTAGAGGGGATTCAGTTCATGTGAACAAGAGAAATTCCATGAAGTATGGTCATCATGGTAGAACAGTTCATGACATTAGAGTGACTAGAACATCTCAATTTGCACAAAAAGGTGCTAATTACAAGGGCTCAACTCGTCGGATGAGAAGGAAAGTGAAAGTTCCATGACATGTGAATCAAATGCCACCAAGAGAAGTGCAAGTTTTAACTGGTATGTAATCTTCACCCTCCTTGGAATTGTTTTACAAAACTGTTTTGAAACTGATTTTGCAAATTGTTTTTTCTGCTTCTGAAGCTATTTCATGTTATAAAGTAAATAGCTTTACACACACATTATGACTTTGTAGGAGCCCACTTTTAGGTATCAATTTGATATGGTTTGCAGTTCTGTTAAGACAGCTAATGCAGGCTTAGCTGTCATAAATCATTGAAGAAAACAAGAATAATGATAGCTTGATATATGTTGCTGGACCGATGTCCTATAAGAAAAATAATATAAAAGTTTATTTTTTTAATTTATTTTTTAAATCCAGTGATATGTAAATGATATAATTGATTGATAATTAAGAAGATATGAGAAAGTGTATTATCTTAGATATTCTTATTAATTGTCACATTATTAGATTTGCAAATTAAATCTAACTTTTAAACTTAAATAGTAATCCTCTTGAAAAAAAATAAATGGCATTGATAGTACCATAGTCATGTTAATCAAAAATAATTTTTCACCACTTATCTCATACTATTTTACTTTAATTAAATATAATACAAATACTTCCAGAGTTTCACATTTATTATCCTACATGCTACTAATCCCAACCTTAATTCCATGAAGTGCAGGCTTCGGGAACAAGCAACCGCTTTAGAACCCAGAAATTGGTTGAAAAAAGGGCTCATCAAAATTTTAAAAAAAATCAAATAAGTCTTATTTTTTTTTATTACTATACTTGCTTAAAAGGGTTCTTAAAAAAAAAAGATATTGATATGATGAATTATGTAAAATTAATTGATTAAATCATACTTTCAATGAAGCATGTCACAAAAAAAATTGAATGAGTTTAATTGATAAATTGATTAGAACAAACTTAATTAATAATTTTATAATTAAAAATGTGAAAGTTCAAAAAAATTTAATAAAATTGGAAATACCAACTAGTCCGATATTAGAAGCTTATTTTGATTCTCGAAAAAAAGCACAACCAACCCTGTTCCCATGATATATTATCAATCTCAAACAATGCCTAAAACAAAAACAAAAAAAAACTAATTCACCTATCAAAGATAACCAAACATTCTTCAATTCAAGTCAGAATTCAACAATAAGTTAGGATGGATAATTGTGGTGATCCCTGTTGGAGGGGGAAGTGGTTGAAGATGGTTATAGAAGTTGTGGTTTGAGTATTGTCGGAGGTTACTGTAGTGATTGACCAGTCACTGAAGAGTAATTAAAAATTACTTGAAACTCATTAATAGTTAACTAGAATTAGTCATAGGTTGTCAATCAATAATAGGTGATAGCTGAAGGCGATGGAAAAAAATGAAAAGGGTGAAATTCTGTTCTAAAAAGAAGTAAAAATACTTCTTCTTTTTTTGTTTTTAAAAATTTTTAAATTAATTTTATTTTTAAAAACAAGAAATTGAAACAGTAACGAATGACCCCAAGATACATATGTAGAGTTATGAATCTCAATTTGGATAGGACAAAAAAAAAATTGATCCGATAGTAGGACAAAATTTGATGCCTTCTCCTTATCGTAATCATGATTTGTCAAAAAAACAATTGATCCGATAATAGGTCAAAATTTGATGCATTACAGTCTAACTCATTATCTTAATGATGATTTGTTAGCACGACACATTGTATTTCGCATAATTATGAATAAATCGGTCCTCATGTGAATTGGAAATGTGATGTTCAAGCCTGTGGGGTTTATTACGAACTCATTTTAATTGTTCAAATTATTCATTTTTCATGACTTTTTATGTACATAATTCTAAAAAAAATAATCTGTCCTGATAATTGTAACATTTTATTGTATTGGTCACTAAAAAAATATATAAATAGGACAAATGTGATAAAATAATGATATTAAGATTATCAGATCCATTTAATTTTTAAAAAAATATAAATACGAAGAGTTTTAAAAAATTAATGATTCTGCTCCACAAAATGGGACCCGTGGTGTGTCCCACAAGCCCGAACATAATCTCTTTAGACAAATGATGAGGACGGGAGAAAAGCCTCTCCCAATAAATTTAGAACAATGTTAGGGATACTCAAAATATTATTGAAAATGCTATCAAACACTTATATGAGACTCACACTCATGTAAATATTTAATAAATATTTTGATAATATATTTAGAGTCTCTAACATATATGACAAAAAAAAAAAATTAAATAGCATAAGTATGATGAACAGTTGTTTTGGCAACTTACATTAATAGTTAAAAAGTTACTAAAAAGTCCTAAAAAAAAAATTAAAAAATCATACAAAAAACTTAAAGATTTATATTTTCTCTCTATTTTTTATATTTTTTTGTAAAAAGTTGAAAAATCATCCTAAATTATTAATTCTTTTTATCTCATATTTTAGCTAAAAAGTCAAAAAATTATTAAAATAACTTATTTCTAACCAAAGGTGATAAACATTTAGAGTTTCTAGAATTTATGATAAATTTAAACATGATATTTTGAAGGGGTCTACGAAGACTGTTTCTCATTAATCTTTTAAATCTAGTCGGCCTACCATATGGAAAATAAAATACATGAGCAATTATAAATCTCATTTTCATTGACTCTGAAAATCTAATCAACCATATTGGGTTTTTTTTTTGGCTTGCAATACAAAACGCTACAGGCAATTTTGGTAAGATTTATGTATATAATTTTGTGTATATTTTTAAATATTTGTAATCACAAAAATGTTAATTTAATTTAATTTTTTTTTTAAATTAACTAATTCCTCTTTCTACCACCTTCTCTAACCACCACCCACACCTCATCACCACATCCGGTCACCTCCACATCCACCTCCAAGTAACTATCGTTGATGACTATTAGAATATTTTTAATAAAAATAAAAATTATTTTAAGTCTTTGATTGTTACCCAATTAATATAAAATCATTTTTTTTATCACACTAGTTACAAAATTATTCATTTCAAATGCTGAAAAATTGATGTGACTTGTCATTAAATCTCAACCACACACTGCACCACTCTAGGAAACTTTAAGAAAAAAAACTCTAGAGGATCCTTACTCCACCTCATCACCACATCTGGTCACCTCCACATCCACCTCCAAGTAACTATGGTTGATGACTATTAGAATAGTTTTAATAAAAATAAGGCCTCGTTTGGAAAGTGACTATTTTAGAGACTTTTTAGTTTTTTGGTTATTTTAGTAAGCTATTTTAATTTTTGTGTTTGGAAAGATGAGATGAATTTTTAGTTGAGTTGTTATATTGAAAAGTGTGTTTGAAATGATGTTTAAATGGAAATGACAAATTTGCCCCTGATTTTATTTTTTTCAAAATTGTTGTGTAGGGGTAATATGGTAATTTAATCCGTCTGCAGCCTACACTGTTGGTGGCAGTGTAGGCTGCGTTGCTGCAGCAGCCGTTGCTTTTTGACTTTATTTTTTCTTTTTTTCTTTTTTTTGAAAATCAATGGTTGGTGAGGCTTTTTGGCTATTTTCTCATTTCAGGCTAAAACAGCCTCTATAGCCTCTCTCAAGACTTCCCAAACATCCAAATATTATTTTAAGTCTTTGATTGTTACCCAATAAATATAAAATCGTTTTTTTTTATCACACTAGTTACAAAATTATTCATTTCAAATTCCATGCTTATTGTGTTGTTAAGGCTGAAACCTTATAGTATTTAATAGTATTATTAGTCATATAATGTCTATTTTATTTTGGATGATTTTAGTTGTTGATTTGGTTTAAATTTTTTGATAGACATAAACATGGTACAAAAGACGCGTTGAGTAAATCGAGTTTTATTTTGAAAGTATTTCACTCTGTTAATACTTTCATAGGAGGAAAAATAATTTAAAATAGCTACAACCAAATTTTAATATTTTCAAACTCTCACAAGCAATTGTTCTAAATTCTAATAAATT